TTATATTCGAAAATATATGATTAAATACGTAAAATATGCGCACTTCGACACTGCACTGCGTGGGTGTAGGCTACTCCAGAGTTATATCTTTCAAACTAAAATGACTACAATCTGCTTGTAGAGTAATGTTCGTGTGGGTCAGACATCCGAGTTGGCCGGGTTCGAGTCTCGGAGTGGAATTTTTTTCTCTCCAGCTTTTTTTATTATCTGTTTTCGGTCACTTATAATCTTTGTATTTAATGGGAGGCTGTGGCTCAGTGGATAGTGTGTGCTGGACTTCGAATCAGGTGATAGCCAGTTAGAATCCCACTGCAGTCAGCATGTCGTTGTGTCCCTGGGCAAGACACTTCACCCCAAATTGCTCCTGTGGGGATTGTCCACTGTACTGAATGTATGTAAGTCGCTTTGGATAAAAGCGTCCAACAAATGACATGGAATGTAATGCAAGTTATTGCAAGGTCTGCTTCACCTTAATTGTCCCCACTGCTTGGTGGCAACAGCTGTCTGTTCTCCAGTTTTTTAAGGTGGTAGCCTGTCTTCTGTGTTCATGTTTCACAGGAAAGAAATGGGAATGTATCAGCCTCAGATGTTGCTCCAGCTGAAAACTATATCCAACCATATCAAATTAATAGTACCACAAAGTGGTTCTGAGACTTATTCAGAAATGTATCCAAAGGGTCATCGCAAACACTGCAGCATTTTCTGCTTCTATTTCATTGCATGCTTCAGAATAGTATTATATATTGATATATAGTGCTTGTGAAGGAAGAGGGGACACATATATATATGAAAACAAGAGGGACATAATATCACAAAACAATTAATGATGATGATTATGTCAGCCATATGTATAATAGTGTTAATATCTATGAGATTTAAAGTAATAATAATAATAATAATTCCCTTTAAAAGCACTAATAACAATAAAATAATGGCAAAAATAGCAATTCGATATATAGTACAAATCAATCATTGTCATGTGAAGCAAGGAGTGGTTGGACCCAAATGCAGAGACTGGAGACAGCAGAAAACTTAACAAAAATGTATATTTAACAGGCAGAACAGGAACTCAAGTAACATCAATCAACACGGAAAAAACAGAACTTCATGACATAGACAAACAAGGAACCGACAAGAACAGGACAGAAAACCAGGACTTATATACAAACAGGGTGACGAGGGGATGAAGTACAAGTGGAGCTAGGAACAGGTTAAACTAATCAGGGCGGGGGAGACAATTAAAACTGGAGGGAAAACAGACAGAGCAGGAAGTGAACACAGAGAAGACAGAAGGAGAATACTTTAAAACAGGAAACAGAAAACAAAAAAAGCATAATACTCATTTTGTAGCTAAGCTACACCAAATTGCCCACCCCAGCTTATGCCATTTTCCATCCGATCTTTAAAAAGTTGGAATGTTGTGCAAATTGGCAGCCTCAGGTTCAGTCCACAGGTGTTGGCCGTGGGGAAACCTGCTGGCCCGTCCTCCGGGTGGAGGAAATTGAGTTTGGGCTGGGTTGGAAACCCTACAGCAGGGATTTTCCGGAGGCCGGTGGCAAAGGCCAACACATCTCCGACATTCAGTATGCTTTCTCCATCTGTGGAGAAAGTTTGAGATCATTTTTAAGTCTACATAATGTTAAGAGCATTAAAGGTATTTTTTGTGTTTAAGAGATGAGTATGATAATATTGCAGATTTGACTAGACAGTATATCAGTGGTTCTGAAATGGGGGTACGCTTATGTCTAGGGAAACTGGAAATCATGAAATGTGATTTTGTAAAAGTGGTATTTTTCATTGATCCCCCAAACGGATTACATTTTCATCCAGCAGCTCCTGAAAGTGCTCTAATCCCTACAAATAATTGGAATACTTCAGGAAAATAACAGAAAGGGTGTCTTTGGGCCAAAAATGTTTATGATACACTGGACAAGATAACTGAAGTGTGTTTTGGTATTGGTCCAACTCATGGGAAAATAAGATACTGAAAGCTGGTCATGTCTTGCAATATTGTATGTATTTCATTACTTTACCATATGTACAGTACATTAAAAAAAAAAAAAAAAAGTAAGTAAGTGGCCTGGATAGTAAATCACCTTGAAATAATAATGAAATATCAGAATGCTAGAACGTCCATGACACAGAGTTCTGCTCCATTTTATTGTTTATCTTTCCTGTGGTTGGCGTCCTGGTTGCTGAGCAACTATCTTTGTCTCTATCAAAGAAACTGCGCTAGCTGTTTGTATATGCTTATTTGTTTACCAATGTAGCACTTTTGGAGATAATAAGGAGCCTTTAGAATTTCTGAAATGAATGAACGGATGAAAAGAAACACAATGTGTGTCCTTGGAGATGCTTCAGAGTCCATACCGAGTAAAAAGAGGTGGTCAATTTCATCGGAGACTACGGATCCAGATGTTCAAGGTGCCCTGCTCTATAGCGTGGTCTATAAATATATGGTGTAATATAATATGTAATATAATATAATATGTAATATATGGTGGTTAAAGTCCGTAGGTTTTGGTGTGCAACACTCCATGTCATTTTCACTTTACATTCAGAAAACGTATTATTATTAGCCACATGCTAACTGGATATGAAGGATTTTCAGAATAAAAGCTTGGCATTGAGATTTCCTGAGAACTTCCGGGTTTTTTCCACAATAAAACGGCTTTTAAACTGACGATATGTTTTAGACTAAATTATGCTATTAAACATTGATTTTAATTTCTAACACAACCCTTTCAATGTCCTCATTCACACGTTTGATGATACGTGGTGTGTACTACAGATGGCCAGACTGCCCTCGATGGGGGAGGGGGAATAGCGTCTCTTCTACTGTGGCAGGATATAAAGTTGGAATTTGGAGTACAGTTTTAAGAGGACAACTCGAGACTCAGAGCGTCTCACCAGAATGTTCTAATTAATAGCTGGCAACTACAGATTAAAAAGGTTTTTATATTGGCATTACCAATATTTCAAACAAATAATTACTTTGAAATGTATTGGCCACTTAGTACTCAACAATACTATCACTGGTTTATCAACGAAAGCCTATGCTAAAGTGAACAATTATCACATCGACCGACCTTGTTGTGCGGGTGTGGTAGGCCAAGATCTCCGGACTTCAAGTATATATTCCCGAAGGTCCTGAAGTAAAATATCAGCTGTAGGGACGTTAATTAGCCTGCCCCGTGACCACTCGAGGCTCCTTTCCATGGTTTCTAACCTGCCAGTAAACGGTTTGGTGAAATAGGGGAGAAGACAGAATTTGTAAGTGTGAAAGATCTCACACAACCTCAGTTTAGGTTACATGCAAAAACAAACTACATTCCTTTGTGTTGGTACTGGTAGTAGCGATAGGTAGTGATGACGAGATGAAGCCGAGGCTTCGGAGCGTGTGTCGAGTAATCGCCGAAGCTTTCTGTGAAGCCTGTGTCGAGGCTTGTATCATTTGGGGGCCAGTGACGTCATCGATGACAAACGAAGCCTCGTTTGTCGATACCACGTGACTGCTTCAGGAAGCGATTCAGATCTTGGCGCGAGCTTCTGACAGATAAAAAGCCATGGGATTCGATTCAAGATGTGTGATCCTTGTGAGAGGAAAACACTTGTCGTTTTCCAGTTTTCGAACATATATTGCTTCTTTTGTCTTTATAGAAGGCAGCAGACATTTACATTTATTTATGTATAGATGTAACAACAAGATACTATATTGACACATTGTTTTTATTATTATATACAGTCATTTTAAAACACTTACTGGTGTAAAATTCTGTTCATACAGGATGACAAATACATTTGACATCTTTTACCTTTTTGTATCATTATTTCCAGTATTTTTAGTATGTCAAAGATTACAAATAATATGTGGCTGTTTTACACCTGTTCACCAACAGGGGGTCTTGTGAGCACATGAAGCCCATGATGAAGCTTCATGAGATGAACCTTTTAGCGAACCGATTTGCTGGAAAGCTTCAAAGCTTCATGAGGCTTCATCTCGTCATCACTAGCGATAGGCTTGGCCCCAGTGGCGGCCGGTCCATAGGGGCGCTAGGGGCGCCGCCCCACCTCTTCCCATATTGAAAAAAAAAAATAATAATAATAATTAAAATTAAAATTAAAAAAAAAAATATGTTTAAAAAAATATATGTTTTTATTTTTATTTTTAATGAACAAGGTAAATATTATATAATTGGTATCAGTAAAATGTATAATCTACAATAAAATCTCGTTTAAAATTGTGTTACGATGTCTAAAGTTACTGATAAGTCACATGTTTCCTGCCTGGCCTTGCCCATGCACCTTCTCTCGTCTGGGCGCTAAGAGAGGAGCCTTCAACCAGTGCAGCAGCAGCCACCAGCAGCTGACTGTTGCTATCTGTAACGTGTAAACTATGCCGCGAAAATATAATTTCAGCCAATCAGCGTCGTCAAAGATGACGGTCACCGGGCGCCAATGTCAGCGCCCAGTGCAGTCTGGGAGTAGTTTGGACAGTGACTCGTATCCGGTTGACGCAGTAGTTGATGAGGATGGCTTCGTGTGCAGGTGGAGTCTCCGGACCTCGGTCCTCGCCTAATTCTGTTCAAGAGCTAATCTCCAATCCTTTCGAAAGGAGAAGTTTGGCAGATAAATTGTTGCTTAAAGACCTTGGACCGGATCAACCCGATTTGAATATATCGCAGCAATCTCGTGAAAAAGACAAAATTTATACACGAGGCTTCACAAGTAGCTGGTACACAAGAAAGGCTTGGCTAGCTGGATGCAAACAGGTAAATGCTGTCTTTTGTTTCCCATGCTTGCTCTTCAAACAGCCGGGGACAGATACAATGTGCCCGTGGACTGTGATAGGAGTAAACGATATGAAGCATTTGTCCAACAAAATTAAAAAGCACGAGTGCACTAAGGCACACATGACAAACACCTTTAAGCTAGCCATGCTAGGCAAAGCTAACATAGCCGCACAGCTAGATCAAGGGTACAAGATCTCAGTGAAAAAGCACAATGAAGAAGTGGACAAGAATAGGCACGTCTTGTCTAAAATAATTGATTGTGTGAAATTTTGTGGGGGCTTTGACCTGGCTTTGCGTGGCCACGACGAGGCTGACACATCCGACAACCCCGGCGTTTTTCTGGGTTTAGTTAATCTACTGGCCTCGTTAGATAGCGTGTTGGAGGATCACCTTAAAACGGCTACGGTTTTCAAAGGCACCTCAAAGACGGTGCAAAATGAACTTTTGGACTGCATGTTATCAGTTTGTAAAGACTACATTCTGGAGGAAGTAAAAAATGCCAGTTATTTAGCTATTCAGGCGGATGAGACAACTGACATTTCCACCCACTGCCAGTTAGTGCTTGTGCTACGCTACATCGACCCGCATAACAACGTCCAGGAGCGTTTTTTTTGAGTTCATTCCTCTTCAGAATGCGAATGCTGACACAGTTGCCACCGCGCTGATGGAGAGGCTGGGCACTATCCTCCCCGATGGACAACAGGGCAAACTAATCGCCCAAGCCTATGACGGTGCAGCGGTGATGAGGGGAGCTAAAGGTGGAGTTCAGCGGAAAGTGAAGGATGTGTACAGTAGTGCGCACTACATCCACTGCTATGCGCATCAGCTGAACCTAATTATGCAGCAGGCAACATCCCACATCCCCAAGATAAGAACATTTTTTTCAGACCTTGGTGGATTTGCTGCATTTTTCTCCAGGTCATTCAAGCGAACTGCGATCCTGGATCAAGTGGTGGCACACAGACTTCCTGGCACTTCCACAACAAGATGGAACTTTCACAGTCGTGCTGTTAACACTGTATATGAGCACAAGGAGAACATCCTGAGGTGTTTCCAGACGATCAGAGACTCAGGTGACTTTGATCCCATAACAGTGAGAGAAGCCGGGGGCTTTGTGCGAATGATGGAAGATGAAGTTTTTTGCTTTTTCCTGACATTGTTCCACAAGATCATGCCACATGTAGACATGCTGTTTAGCCAACTGCAGAAGAGGAACATCGACTCTGTCTACATCACAGGACTCATCAAGAGGTTCACCAGCAGCATACAAACAATCAGGTAAATCATTATTTACAATGGCTGAGATGTGCTTATTATAGGAAATCTGTGAAACCTAAATGTGATTTAGCTGAACACAATAGACCAACTCACACATACTTGTTTAAATATCTTAAACAGGCTTACTGGAAATGTATATATTATATAACGTTTATAAGGTGTATCTCTGACTACTATTTCAAATAGTCAAGTTAATTTGTCAATTCTTGCCACAATGAGTAATTGTACATGGTTACTTGTGGTTTGGATCAGGGACTCCATTCCTTCTGGTGAAAGCAGTGGATCTCAGCAGCTGCCCACAAAGAAACGGAGGGGACTTGGACATGAAGAGCAACAGCTGTTGGCTAGAGAGGTAAGCAGTAATAGGAACGTGTTCTATGACTAAAAGCTCCTTTCATAATATAGGTCATTTCATATCACAATAATGATACATTTCACAAGAAAGCCCATTTTCTGTAAATTAAATAAATAGGTAGGCTAGTTAAAATATCTACATGGAAAGGCCTATTGCTTATTACATTCTGAATTGTATACACTTAACAAGGCCTAAACTGCAAAAAGTGTCCCACAGTCTCTACATTTCAAAGGGGATCAAGACAGATCAGAAAAGGTTTAGGCTTCCAGAAGCAACCACAGTGGACAGAAAGGGCCCAACAATAAATGAATGAAGTGTAAACATAGTCATTAAATGTATATATTGTAGTGACTTAATTTTAAACAGTAATATTGTTCTGTTGATGCTCAGATAGATGTCCTGTTATTCTGATAGGTTCCATTCACAAGAAAGCTCTTTGTTTGTTACACATCTTATAGGGGACACTAATGACATTATGACTGATAGATGTGAAAAGGTGATTCTGTTATTTATTATGTCTTGATTTTTTCATTGTGCATTATTTCATAGGTATGTGATACCATACTGAGTCACGCAAAGGAGAGATTTTCCTTCACCAAACACCTCATCAGCTCCACCCTCCTGCAAGGAGACCTGTTCCAGCAGCACAGCCGAACATTCCCTGAAGCAGCGCTGGAAACAACTGTGGAGGCCTACCCTCTACTGGACAAGGCAAAGCTCAAGACGGAACTGTCCCTCGTCTATGACAATGACCAGTTCAGGGCTTGCAGTGGTGCTGTTACTCTGCTCCAGTTCTTCCTTGACAATAATCTGCAGGAGACATTTACAGAAACTGTCAGTCTTCTGAAGGTTCTTGTAACCACACCCATGGCTACGGCTGAGGCAGAGAGGTGCTTTTCCACTCTGAAAAGGATAAAGACTTTCTTGAGGAACAGCATGACACAGGATCGCCTGAATGCTCTGGCTATGCTGTCAATTGAGAAAAAACTCATTAGGAGCATTCCTGACTTCAACACCAGAGTCATTGAGAGGTTTGCCACTCAGAAGGAGAGAAGGGCAAAATTCCTCTACAAATAGACACACACACACACACACACACACACACACACACAAGCTCTCGCAGCAAACACAGATGGCCGACCCTTAAAAAAATGCGTTTCATTAGAGAGACAATTAATGTTAATGCATAATTAATGCAGAATGTTGTGAAGTTACTTTTGGATACCTAAGATGTTTTGTTCAACCACAAAGTCCAGGAACATGAGTACTGTTTGGAAACCTGTTGCGTTCGACTCATTTTCCCCAGAGGAACAGTTGTTTCTTGTTTCCTTTTGTCTTTTTTCTGCCTGTTGCACATTTTGTTATTCAAAGCAGTAAAAAAGGTGCTATAGGCCAATAAGCTGGATATCACTTTATATGTAGAGAGTAGGTTTCCCATGGTTGTTAGAAGTTTATTAATAAGTGGGCATTTATCACAGAAGTGATTGTTCTGTCTCCACGTTTGTTGCATTGTCTGTGATGTATTTTCCAACGGTTATAGCTCCTGTCCCAGCAACACTACACGGTTTGCAGCTCCACCACATCTTTGGTTTATCTTCGGTGTCGCTTAAAATCTGCTTCCCATCGGACTAAAACCTCCACGTAATCTGAAGACAGATACTTGAAGTTATTTAAACCTTTTGCAAACTTTATGTTCTTTCTTGCTCTAGCCTTGCCAGTTACATTGTACATAACACATATATTATCATTATGCTAACTGGTTGTTCGTGTTAGACGATGTAGCTTTTTCATTTCTGAGTTATTGCTATATGTAAATAAACCTGTTTGTAAATAATCCTCAGAGAAACAAAGAAAAAACACAATTTATGACATTTTGTGCTGTGGTTATTTTTTTTAAATTGCATTTATTCACAGTTCAGTTTGAAATGCTGTAGTGACTTGTATTGAACCACTTAAATATTTATAATTAATGCTACTGAAAATATGCTATTAATTTTATATCCCACATGCAGTTCACTGTAAAGCCACTTGGTGGAGGTGTTGGTTCATAAAACATGAACAGTTTTAAGAAAGAAAAATGCGGACCAGTTCTGAGAATACAAATTCCTGGTAAAGTATTAGATGTTCAGGTTGATAAATAATATTTTCCACACTGAAGATTATGGAGGTATTGATCAGTCTTCTCATATTTTTAAGCCTCGATTTCTCCTTTCCCCACCCCTCTAACATCACCAGAAGTCATAATTTAAGGGGTCATTTCTCGAATTTTTTTTCCGGGGGGGTAAACCCCCCGGACCCCCCCGGTAGGTCACTTCCGGCAGGTCACTTCCGGTACGTCAAGAGCCCCACCAAAATAAAAGACCACCAGCCGCCACTGCTTGGCCCTTACCTCGTTACTGTGGATTGTAACACAGCATGACCGGCATCATCTGTTTGGAGAAGTCTTGTGCAGTCATTTATTGTCCTTTTGCAACGCAAGATGAAGTTTCTCGTGGACATTTTTCCGGCTTCTGAATCTGCTTCTGAATCTGCTTCTTCTTCTTCTTCTTCTTCGATGATACTGCCATCCGTATGTCTTACCTTTATATACAGTCTATGGTCTTACCTTAAACTGCCCCGCCCATTTGTTTAGCTTCCGGTTCGAACACATGTTCTTCTTGTTCTTCTTCTTTGGTGTTTATTGGCGGTTGACGTTGAATAAACAGAAGGCTGCTTTTGTGGAGGAAGTTACAGCGCTACGTACAGGCTCGGCATATGTACTGCAGCTTTTTCCAGCGGTATCCATACATCTCTTAATTTTGCCCTCAAAGTGCACCAGATTGATGCATTTAACTTCAATATAAAGAAAAACATCTTCTGTTGTAACAACAATAACATTATAAATAGTAACATAGCTGAACATGGTATTGCACATTTAGCTTTCAGTGTTACTGACCTGAGATGTTTTTATTACATGAATTAAGGTGACTGAGGCTTTTTAACATAGACTTGGGAAATGCAGATTGTCTGAGACAACTTGGCACTAAGAGTACTGATATGTCTACCATTTATTTTCTGAGTGTAATATCTGCATTTTCTCTGACCCAGACAAAACTGACCCAAGATACCTGTACATAGTGGAAAGTGAAATTGACATTGTCAAATTTAATAAAAATACAAAATAATGTATCTGTGTACATGTTTTACTGTACTGTGATCTGCATGCACTTATCAAACATTTAATTAAAGAATGGTGATATACACAGTATATGCTGTGATGCAGCGGGAGGAGGAAAACACACACTTCAAGTCAGATCATCACCCTTAGCTATTTTAATTACCTCTCAAACTACCTAAACTAGTTATAAATGTTTATTGATATGTCTACCATTTCTTTTATGAGGGTAATATCTGCCTTTTCTCTTTTGGTTTGAATTGGAGAAGGGCAATGGTTATCGATGGTGCTTTTAAAGCCTATTGTATACTAACTGTGTGATTTATATTGCTTTTCAAATGCATATAGGCCACCCATTTACACTGCTCTTCCCGTCAAGAATATGAATAGAACTTAGTTAGATCACTTTACATTTCTGCGAATGAATTTTTAATCACAGACGTCTCCCCGTCCCGAAAATAATAAATAAAATAAAAAGAGGAAACAATTTTCAAGTTCAGTTTTCATCGTTTTATTTAAAACAACTGACATAACTGACATAACTGACACCATAGGCCTATCTGCTGCGGAAACCAGGACGAGCTATAAAAAGATAAAATAAAGATAAAAATGTTCCTCTCGCTCTGAGGAAACTGCCCTGGTGGGTTCATCAGGTGTGGCCGCCGACCCTGGAGTGACCACTGGCACTGGAATGACTGGTGGCAATGATGTTTTTATTTATTTATTTAACAGGGACAGTGCACATTAATGAACGTTTCTGTAAATGTGCCAGAGTTAGCCAAGAGGCTATTTTTCATCTGTAGTCCCTGGACAGATTTTAAAAGTCAATCTAAAACACATTTCATTTTAAACAAGTAAATACAATACATTTAAAACATGCAACATACATTACTGGGATACTTAAATAAAACAATTTAAAATACAGAACATTAAAACAAAACAAATAAAACAAAACAAAAGAACATGTTAAAACATGTTAAAACACAGGCAGTGGGTTGTAAGGAGCAGAAGATTTGGTCAGTGTTGGCAGAGCTGATTCCTCACTGACCATATTTTGAGTTTCGATTTAAATAAAGTGAATGTGGACTGGTCTCTGATTGGAGATGGGATTGAGTTCCATTGCTGAGCAGCTTTAACAGAAAATGAAGACTGACTGAAATAATCTCCTCTCTCTGCACCTCTTGTTACCCTAGTTGCACTTGTGCGTATGTTAATAAACTGTCTAAGAGGAGGTGAGGTAAGGCCGTTTATTTTAAGGCCAGTATTTTGAGTGTTTGTTTGTACAATGACTCCAGTGGTTTTAATGTTGTTGTACTGGCATGTGACCAGGTCGTTAAACAGTAGGTGATGTGTGAGAGAACCACAGAGTGTGTGTACATCAGAGATGCCTCAATTGACATGTAATCTCTGGTGAACCTATAATTCGACAGACTGACTGTTGGTGTTGAGATGTTTTTATTACATGAATTAAGGTGACTGAGGCTTTTTAACATAGACAAGCAGATAGTGGATAGATTTAGTTTGAAAGATATAACTCTGGAGTCCACCCACACAGTGCAGTGTCGAAGTGCGCATATTTTACGTATTTAATCATATATTTTCGAATATAAGGGCTAGAAATATGATTCAGATAACCGCATAAATATGTGGTTACATTTTCAATGTATATTGTCTTGTATAAATTAAGTTATACTCTCCAAGGCATGTTTATGTTAAACAGTGTATATCATTACAAACAGCAGAGGGCAGTATAGGACACGGAAAGGCCTCAGTGCGCCGTAAAGTAAGTGTTGTTATTATGTGTCTGCCGCAGACTTGAGAAGGGTCTAGCTCAAGCCCCCAGGAAGTGCGCCGGACTCTGATGAAAATATTCGTGCTGGCCAAACGGCGGTACTACACTTCCTTTTGGTTGCCAGGCCCGGAAACACTTTTTCCCATTGACTTACATGGGGAAAGAGTGGTCTGTAAATCGTTGGATAATTTTTTTTAAACTAAATAAACTACCCAGTATGAACACTTGTATAGCACTTATTAAAAACATTCGTTCCTCAAGTTGTAAAATGTGCTAATAACGTTATTCTGAGAGTTATTTCCCTCTGCATTATGAACGCGCATCTAACCCACGGGACCGCGCCGCCCGGCACGTTCATGTTACGTGTTCAGCACTACATGAGTTTATCTTTACCCATGGATGCACAATAAGAACGGACCCATATCGCCTTACTGCCAGCCCACGGAGCTGTAATAATGGATATATTGCACATGTTTGCTGTAATTCATCATTTGTAAAATATTATACTACATGGGCTGTATGATTAAATCTTGTACCGTAAATGTTGTATTAAATAAAGTTAATATTACCGACGTAGATTAACGTCCCTGTAGCTTCTTATTGCACTAAGAAGCTTATTGCACTGTGTGTGTATGTGTGTATATATATATATATATATATATATATATATATATATATATATATATATATATATATATATATATATATATATATATATATATATATACAGTGCAATAATTATTTCATGCTAAATGAAGCTCTGTTGCTTGGATATCACTAGATCCTGTTACAGCGTAATATAAAAGTACATAACGATTGATGTGTAAATTAGCATAATTACTAGCTACCCGCTAGCTGCTAACTGCAGCCTCGTTAATATCAAATCTATCATAACAAACATTACCATGCTGTCATGAACGTGCGGTGCTGTTACGTGTACGCAAATTGACGTGCTTGATGTGAACGAGCATTTTGGGGGGCATGGTTAAAGTTGCGCATGCGCTATGAGCGCACATACGGGTACTTCTCAGGCATGCCGGGTAATCTGTGACGTTTCGCTCTCTCAAAAGTTGGGCCATTTTATCATCATGCGCGAATGAGCAACTCTCATAGGAATGAATGAGGCCCCGC